ATTTAACTTTTTTTTACTTAAATCATCTTATTCTACATATATTTTGTTTGTTTACATACACAGATTCTCATATGCTCAAATTCTCCTTCTTATTCTAATAATTTAATTATACATTTTACTTTTATTCCGTGTAAAAAAAAGAAAAATGAAAACATTATGCACATTTGTTAAGTATAGAGTTAGTAGTTATAGATAATGATAATTGAACTGGATATCGATCCGGCCCTAATTCTCAGGTCAACGAACATACGTCAATTTTTCGCTCTTCAAGGGTTTCTGGTCCCCTTAATGAAAGAAGAACCGCACCCACGGCAAACATTCTTATAATTGCTCGCGTCGCTCCGACTGGCATCCTCGTGTTTACGCGCGTACACACCTTGTCGTCGTTCTAAGTCTACGATATGCTTAAGGTAACATTATGCGTAATAAGGGATTCGCAGAAGCAACATTCCGTAGAAGCAACATTTTTTTTAATATAGATATTGCAAGGAAATTAATTAATTATATGTAAAAGAATTTCTTATTGTAAGGAAAATCTATTATATTAATGATTTCTGATGATACAAGTATTATAATTTAAAAAATTCGTTTCATTCAATATGTAATATAACGAGAATAAATATTTATTTAAATATATAAATAAATGTATGGAAAGAACAATTTTGCTGTAGGATTAAAAAATTTGATCCGAACTGAAACATAATTTTAGTAGCTCGTCAAAAATATTAGACGTAGAATTATTACGTGCGATGCAAAATTACGTCTAATTACTGCAAAATTCTTCTATATTTTAATAATTAATTTGAACATAATTATTTTGATGGTTTAACAAAATTATTTTCAGATTTATGTGTAGCAAAACTGTTTTTTCTGTGTACTTAAAACAACCACTTTATTTTTAACCTTTCTGTTTTAGAATCGTTAAAATATAAACTTAATAAAAAATTTATTCATATCTATAGTATAAACTTTTTCATTTGCAAATAATATATAAATACTAGAAATTCATAACTCGTTACTAATTGCAAAAATCGCAAAATGGTAGAGGAACTTTTTTGCTCAGTTGACCTCCGTTTTATCTGCACACAAGCGGAGTATCAGATGAATCAGATATTCTTTATATTGTTAGCATATACAGGAAAAATAGTTTAGTCAGCTGTACTAAATTTTATTAAAATATAAAATTCAGAAATTTCAATTGAAATTGCCAGATTTCTCGATTAAGTTAACCAGAAATAAAAATTACCGAATCAATTTAAAATTTTTAAAACAAGAGAGAAATAAGGAGTATGAAAGTTACGCAAGATCTAACATGCGAAATATTTATATTTATATTATATTTATATTATATCAATAAAATTAAAAATCATAAACAAAAATCTTTTACAAACGTTTTGATTTACACAAAGTCATCTTCAGTGTAACTCATATAACAATAAACTTAAAATAACTGATGAAGTAAATATGATACGTTGTAAATAAAATTAAAAATTAACAATAAAAATTAAAAATTAAAAACAATAAGATTAAAAATATACTCAAAATATAATCAAATTATAAAAATAGTAACGGAATCGTCGAAAGACAAGATCGAAAGACAAAAATTATAACAGTAAAATATATCAGTATAAAATTATATCAGTTCAAAAGCAAATGTCTATGGAAATAAAAATCGTTCACTAGGTCAATTTTCAAGTGGTATCAGTATCTTTTCCGCGATGTCAATTCGATGTTCGATATTCGTACTACTTGTCATTGAATTCAGTATGTATTTCGACACAAGTTTATTATGCACGTACTATCATTCCCAAAAGATCAGAAACCCATGATAAATGCTATAGAACGACAGCACATCTCACATTCTTCCAGATATTAGATTTTGCGACGAAATGTCAAAAATGGAAATAAATCAGAAATCTTAATAGTTTAATCAGAAGGCTTATTTGTTTAAACTCTGAATTCTGATAATTTTAATCAGAATTTCTGTTCAATTGTTTATATTTTAATAGAACTTGATACAGGTAAAAACTTTTTCCATATATCCTCTTAAATATGGCAAACAATCATTTAGAAAGAAATGTTCGCCGTATAATTATTATTCGAGCGCAGTTTATAATCAAATAAAACATTTTACGGGCAACTTTTTACAGGCGAGTTTTAAATGCGAATTATTAAAAATGTGCGGCTACTAATCGCTACAAATATTCTGCTCGAAGATACAATCGTTAATTGTTATTACATTTCAATATTACGAAGTATTTTAATGAAATATCAGGAATAACGAGACCCGGGCCACGGGCGTGTCTCTTTGTGCGAGCTTAGAAAGCGAAAAGCGCCGCAGAATCGCGCTCTGTGCGAAATCGCGATCGCGAGCGCGGTTATTTATAAAATGTTCGCCGTTGGTGGCCATCGCGGTGAGGAGCAATTTAATTCGTCTGCAATTAAAGCAAATATTGTCCGAGCGATCACGCGCGAATTGACTTTTCCGCTTGACGGAATCCCCAACAGCTTTCTCGACGCCAATCGCAAGCCGGGATAACGTGTTAATTATACAAATCTATCACCCGTTCTGCCGAAAATCGTTCTGTTTTCTCGCGTTTGCCGCCGAGTGTATCTCTTAATCGTCTACCCGGCTACGCGTGACTTACGTTCCTGCACGCACATCCGCACGCGGGAATCCACGTGAACAGGTGTGCGTGTGTCTTTTTTTGGAAATCCCATTCGGATCGAGATCACATCGGGATTAATGAGGCGTGAAAGAAAAAAAGAAACGGCGAAATTCACGAATACAGTTAGTACATCAATTTGAAAAATCGAGCGTTGACGAGAAATCACATGTCGCGCCGAAGCTTATTTCTTATCTCCCGCATTTTGATTTAAGCAAATCTTCTTTCTCGTTCCAAATGAGAAATAATTATTTAATTATTTAATATATAGAATAATGAAGAATCTTCTGTTTAAGGCCTTAAACTTAGACCCGCTCAAAATAAAAAGAAAATATGTTCTACATAAATTTCACTTTGATCATTTCTTATCTTTGATGTGTATTATAAATTTTCTCGTAAAGGATCGAAGGGTATTAAAAAAAAAAATTAATCTGACAGATAACTTCGTTGTCGTGAAAAAAGATCACACGTGTCCTCGTATTCGTTGAAAAGCTCTAATAGACATAAAGGAAATAACAAGGAACAATTAACGCTAACAGTACCGAGCGGTCATTTCTAATCATTTCTATTTTAAATTAATATCTTTTCTCTCATTATTAAAGATACATTTTTCAAATTTTCCAACAATTATATTTTTATCCCGATAATAAAATACTAAAGTCAAAAAATTTTTAATTCTCCTCCCTTCATTGTAAAAAAAAAATATTAATTAAAAAAAAAAAACGATTGGATCCTTACAAAATTTAATGAATTGTAATAACACATAAAGATTTCGTCATGTCATGTGTTTATTACACATTTGCGATCGGATCCTTGGCAAATTCAATGAGTCGTAATGACACACAAAGATTTCGTCATGTCACACGTTTATTACGTACTCGTGATATATTTTTAATAGGCGATCAAGATAGGCGCGGGGCGTCTATCGCGCGATCGGGGGTCCATGAAGAAATTATCATAATATCTACCCAAAATATCTAAGTTATTTAAAATAATTAATCCACCTAACATTAAATTTATATGTACTACCGATGAACAAGGCTACAGGTCTTTTCATATATCCAATTGTACCAAAGTCGCTATTCTTGTCACTATTGCCCCCCCAATATAATTCTTAAAATCAAATATCTATATTTTATCACAATTTATAAGAAAAAAATTTCTCTAAATCGAATTGATCCGTTCTACCGGTCTGTTTTTAAAAAGTACGCCCGCCAAAAGCTGGAGCTCGCGACAGATAACGCGCACGCGAGCGCGCTCAATCGTGCGCTCGGCGCGCGAAAAGTGGGCAAGGATTTTCGGATCGCGCCCCGCGCGATCGCGCTCCCGCCCGCGCCTAACATAATATTTAAAGCGCCGCGACGACGACTCCGATCAATGTGTCGACCATTGTCATCGACGAGCGACACGGTGTGACCGAAGGGAGGGCACCGGCGTCTTTGTCCACCCACGATCAACAGTCGCAGATTAGGCTTCCTTGCGAAGAGCTCGCGCCCGCCGTAGCCTGCCGGTCTTGGAAATTTTTCAGGAGGCCGCACCATGGTCAGCCGCATCTCCATCATTTCCCTCTCGATAGGTCAGTATTATAATGTTTGTATTATAATTCTCGTGTATCCTCGTAGCGGCGTTTCTCCTCGAGCGAGGAGTCTGAGGAGAAGTAGCGCGACCGAATTTGGATCCTATAAAATTTCAGATTTTGATTTTGAATGATTATTAAATTAAATTTACTCGGGAAAATTATATCGAGATTCTGTGAGCCTTCATCACGTGTTTTTGATATATTAGAAGAAAGAAAGGATTAGAATCTATCTTTCTATTTTATTTTTCTTTCTTTTGCATCAATCTCATATATATATATATATATATATATAATTTCATATATATATATATTTTCAACGACGTTTTTCCTAATTAGGAGTCTAAAAAATACCAATCGAAAGATTTACGTTGCGCTCTAAATTAACGTTTCACTCTCCTTAAATCAACCTTTTAAAAATCGAGAAAGTCTGATCTTCTTTTTGTCTTATGTTAAAACCAAAACTTTAGATTAATCTTCGAATTTATTAAAATTGAAATTTAACTTGGGACATATATCCGTGGGAAATTCTATGAAACTTCACTATGCGTTTCGACACGAGAGAGAGGAAGGGGTTGAAGTCTATTTTTCATTTATTTTCTCATTTGGCATAGATTCATGAGATGTGTTTGGGTATCGCCAACTGATTTAAATCTGGTTCTTTAAAATTGTTCCGATAATACCATTTGCTTTTCTAATTTATCGCTTCTGCCTGGCGCCAAGTTTTCAGCTTGCTTTTCTACGCGAGCAGAAAAGTAAATATTAAGAAAACCTATATATATATATATATATATATATATATATATATTATTTCTTTTTCACAATAATTTAGCTCTTCTCATCATCGTCGTCATTATTATCATTGATATATCACCTAATATATCTCGCATCGATCTACACTAGTGAAATAATTAAAAACGTTGCAATCGCCAATTTTTGCTATTTATATATTTGCAGAATTATAACGTTTTCAGTCGCCCGAAAACTCGCTTCAAAATATTCCATTTCATTTGTATCACAGATCATTCAGATAAAAATGTCGCAAGCTGCAATGCCATGCCATTGATTCCGCCGAAATGGCAAAGCGTAATTATTAATTATTCTTTGCCACCTTATCGATTAAAGTTCTCAAGCTCGGTATAGGATTTTTCTTGTCATTATTTAGTCTCGCTTTTGTTTTTCGCATTTTTTCTTTTCTGACATTTCATTTTTCTCAGTGGAATTGGCACTGATATTCGCGCCTACGTATTTACGCATATAAGTTTTTCGCGAGAAATCGAGAATGCTAATTGTTGAAACAATCGACACGAAAAATAGCTCCATTTACCATGACAAATCGCCGTTGCATCTTGCCGGTGTAACAATGAGAATTTCCTCGCGGAAAATAACAGCGGTACGTTCAATCCATCTACCATTCACACCATTATCTGAAAGATAATTATCGAATTGCGACAGCACGACGGGGCAGAAAAGCGCGGGCCACAAAAGCTCTTACGTCAACGCGCACCGTGGTTTACGGTTTGCATCAAACAATCGGAAAATAACGCGTTTCTCGCAAACACGAGGCAAACAGGAGGAGTTGCGCGCTGTTTCATTTCGACAAATAATGGGGATGACGAAATAAAGATCGCATCGCATAACTTACTCGATATTTTTTGCGATCTGGCGAGACCGTGATCCTTTGACAAACGTCAGAATCGGCGTTCGAGAAAAGATGAGACGCGCCACGTTGCAAAACGATTCGCGTTTTACACTCCAACGTTGATCTATGCGATTGTCGATCAAAGCCCCTATGATGACAATAGAAATTCTCTCGAACAAACTGGAAATGTTTGAGCAATGATACAGCGCATCTCCTCTGGCGTTTGAGCCTTCTCTTGATGCAATATCGTGCGATTCAGCGGGATTACAATAAACTCGCTCAATAAACATTTTTAACGTTACACGGTGTTCTCCATGTGACGATGGCGTCACCTTCTTTTGATGCAACTCGTCCGGAAGAAGTCAAGTTCAGTGCTTGATCCGTGCATATTTAACATCGGTTTAACCGGTATCGCCGCGTCAATTAGTAAATCGGAAGCAAGCCGTTATAATTCTGTTAGTAAATCGCGTAAATCTTATTATCTTCTCCCTCTATTTCGACTATAATATCTCTGCGTACACACGCATAGGCAACATTGTTCAGAATAGTTTGATAGGAAAATACCCGGCGAAAGAGGAAACCGCCGTTGTTGGTATACACCGTTGCAGCCATCGCAATGGAATGCGACTTTCTACAAGTACTTATTCTTATCATGTAATTATTATCAACAAATCTTTACTACTTTTTTAACAACAATCTGTTATTATCTATGCGGAAAACATGGTTTTGTTGAAATATATGTAAAAATTTGGGCAGACATGGATCTGATAATTTTATTAAATCATTAAAATTATTATGTGACGTGTTCAAATATGATGATAAGCAAAATTTTTTATATTTTAATTTACTTGAAGGTTCTACATAATAATTTTGATAACTCAACAAAATTATCTTTAACTTATTTTAAACTTATATTATTTGGTCAAACTTTTAAATACTTTAATACTATTCTTTTTCTGTAAATATTCGTTAAAATTATGTCACAATTAATATTAATTTTTAATATAGATTAACTTTACATTTTACGTAGAAAGAACACTTTTCCTAAACTAATATCTAAAAATTTGACCAGATACAGATTTGAAAATAATTTTTATTTTTATTAAAATATTTATGTAACATGTTACTAACTAGAATATAAAAAATTTTTAGTAGTATTATCATTATTCTTAAGCGTCATAATAATTTTAATATCCTGACAAAATTATTTTCAGATTTATATCTGCCCAAATTTTTAGACACTTCAGCAAAAATCGTTTTTTTTTTTTTTCATGTAATTCAATTTACTATTTATTTTTTTTTAGTTCGTAAAACTGGAAAAAATGAAAAGTAAATTAAATTGAATGTTCTTCTGACATTGATAAGAAACATGGTAATTTTCGGGATCGCAAATCGATGTCACGTGTTAATTAAATTTGCGTCATCGAACATAATAGATAAGGTATTTACTTTGTTTCCGAATGACGACACGTCCAATAAATCCTTATCGATCGATATTGCGCTCAATTAATGAAGGCAGTGATAAGTATACGCACTTGTATAATCTGGTGGCTGTTGGCGTATTTACTTAACTCCGATCATCATGAAAAAGTTGATCTGCCGGTATCTCCGATGTTTCCTCCAAGACGATACGCTGGAAGTATCGGCACCTTTATTACGAGAATCGTGGCTAAATATGGATCACGTCCGTTACGAAATATGCGAACGATACGCACGATTGTTTTAATTTCACAATTTTGCATGCAGGCTAATGTGGGAAATTTTTGACGTGCGTAATCAGTTTACGTACGTGATATATCGCGAAATGCTTTATCGAAGAAGCAGAACGCAAATGAATATTGAATATCCTCATGAATATCCTCCTCCCCCCCCCAAATGGATGTAATGCTTGTTTATAAAATATCCATCTATTTTCTGTCCGAGCCTCCGCGTTGAATTCTTACGTGGATTCTTGTCGTGTAACAAGGATAACGCGATACACATTTCATGATGCAAAACCGTAGATATAAGCCGTCGACTTTATGTGAAAAAAATATCTAACTTTTGGGCATTTATCGCATCGTTGTGAATATTGCATTATTATTGAAGTATGCCTTCTAATGGATGAATGCAAATGAACTTTTGTTTTACAGAGAAGGAGAGCAAGGATAATGGGTCTAATAAGGAAGGCACCGCGGACTTTGAGAGGGCCATGGAGATATGTGGTAAGTCGTTCTCGTTGCGAAATCGTTCCGCGGTCACGTATTTTTCGTGAGATCTTTTATTAAAAATTCCTGTCGTTTATTTGTAGGAAATGGAAGATATCAATATATTTTTCTACTGGTTTGCGGCATAATGTTCATCTGCGTCGGTTGTCAATATGGAGCGAACGCGTACATCCTTCCCTCAGCCGAGTGCGATCTTAATATGAAATCCGAAGAGAAGGGATTGTTGAATGTCGCCTTTCTGATAGGTAAAAATACTAGAATTTCGAGCAGTACATCTAAATTTATAGAGCATTTCTAAAGTGTAGAATTTAAAAAAAAAAATTACCATAATAAAATTCCATAAATAAAATTCTAAATCTATAGAGCATTTCTAAATCGTACAATTTTTTTCTAAATTCTACAAATTAAAAATGTTCCATAGATTTAGATATATTGTATTTGCACATTGTATTCGGACATTTCGACGTAGTTACATATTTTTAAATTCCAAGAACTTGTCTTGTTCGATGTTAAAACCTTCTTACTTTAATAATGAATTAAACACTCACCACGCAGGCGAGTTTTTCTGCGTCGGCCCACTCGCCTGATTAAAGTTAATCTAACCGTCTCATCATTCGCGCGGGCAAAAACCTCGTCTCGTTGCAATTAAACCTGATCCGAAAATCCGACAATTTATGATTTCATCAAGGGATGATCAACAAAATATCAGTTTTCAATTCCCAGCGCCATGAAGGATATCGAGTCTATGAAATATCATATGAAGTATCATATATTGAAATATCATATATGTCATTTAAATTTTTCATAAAAATTTTGACAAATGTAATAAGTCATTAATAATATTATAAGTAATTCGTACTTCTTTTAAAATAAATATAGATTTGTTATTTAATGAGCGTTCACACGCGTGTGTGTTTGGTCAGGTTCGGTGTTCAGCGCTCTTTTCTGGGGTGTCTTCGCGGGTGCCTACGGAAGAAGAAATATCTTGCTGCTAACTCTTTTTGCCGACAGTGCCGTTACGTTCGTTGCGAGCTTCTCGCAAAGCTTCAAACTGCTGTTGGTGTTCAGAGTCATAAGCGGATTCTTGTAAGTACAGAACTAACGAGACGACGAACGCGCGTAGACGTATATATTGTTCTAATTGTACGACTTGGGCTATTTTTAGGATGGGTGGACCCGGTTCCTTGGTGTACACGTATCTCGGTGAATTCCATGCGGAAAGATACAGAGCAAAGAGCATCTGCTTCCTAGGATTTTTCTTCATCCTCGCTTGGTTAATACTGCCTGGTAATCACTCTTTTTAATTATCAATAAATAAGAAATCCCGAAACTGCACTTTTCAGAGAATCTGCTATTTAAGATATTCATTTATACTTTAGACTTAATTTTAATGTCGTTCAACTTACTTTTTATTTTTTAGAATTAGAAAAACAAAGTATTAAATTAAATAAATTAAAATTGATGAACAGTGATATAAGTGGACATAACTAGATTACAACAACAAAATATGAAAGCTATCGATATTAATTTATTGATTCGTTTCATTTTCAGGTTTGGCATGGATAATCATACCTTTACCAATATCTTTCGAGTTCTATAACATCCGGTACAATTCTTGGAGAATGTTTCTCGGCGCTATCAGCCTGCCAACTTTCGCTATTGCCGCCGTAACTTTGACGTATCCCGAAAGTCCAAAATTTCTGGTGTCGCAAGGCAAGACCGACGAAGCTCTCGAGATTCTTCGAAATATCTATGCGATAAATACCGGACGTGATAAAAGCGAATTTCCGGTAAGTAAAAAAAAAATAAATGTTTATCTTTTTCAAATGACACTGTCGGATTCAAAAAAATTGCGGATTGCATTATGTCTTCCTTTAATCGATGCAATCGATTACTTTCGCGTAGGTGAAGGAACTCCTCTCCGACGCTGTGTTCGAAGTAGAGAAGGACAAGGCGCCATTGTCTTCATCGGATATGCTAACGGAATTGATGAAAAATATTTGGTGGCAATTGCGCACCATTGCGTCACCACCACTCCTGAAATATGCTTCTCTTTTGTGGATGATTTACTTCGCGAACATGTTTGGGTAAGGATTTTTCTTCCTCTTGATTTTTAAAAGATTGATTTCTTTATTTAACACATATTTATAGAGAGAATTGTGTAATTTTGTACAAATTATTAATTTCAACATTCAAATCCATTCTATTTGTTATTTTTATATTATTTCCTGTCACAATGATAATAATCGAGAATTTTATTATTTATGTAAAATAAACTATTTAATGAAAAGCATTATTTAGATACATAAAAAAGATTTAAGAAAAAGAAATTTTTTTCTATGAAATATTCTCTGCATTGATTATATTATAGATATTACGGCTTCAATCTTTGGCTGCCGGAGTTGTTCAATCGCTTTGAGAATTATCATCAATCGCATCCGAATGCGTCCGTGACGGTCTGCGAGTTGATACACGCCACGCAAACGTCCTTAAATCACACCCTTCCAGAGGAACCATTTCTCCTTTTGATGAATGAAGTCAGTACGGAATGCAAGCCACACATAGACGAGCGGGTGTTTATCAACTCTCTAACGATTAATGCCGTTTGCTTACTCGGCAATGTCGCCTCTGGGTATCTAGCAAATCGAGTCGGCCGTCGGACAATGCCAGGTAAAAGCTATTTTTAAAAATAAAAAAATACCGCACTCATATAATATAATATTATTTATATTGTCAAATAACACGCTAAAAGTAATATACTTGAAGAATCTTATATATTTTACGTATTTATCTTTTTTTAAATCTCCGAAAAAATCTTTCCAATATTTCCATTTTTACCAATGCGGATTAATTTAAATATTCTATTCGAATTAGAAAAAGAAGAAGAGCAAGCTGAACTGAGATTAAAGTTAAAGTCTACAGTTGGAATTAGAAATGAGCGTAAGAAGAATAAAATTTCCGACGATTTCTCTTTCCTCCAGTGACCACGATGATGATATCTGGCATTGCCGGCCTTGGTCTCTACTTCGTGAGATCCTCGCTGCAAATTCTCATAACGGCGTGCGTGTTCTCCCTGATGGCGGCCACGGCGAATTTCGTGCTTACCAGCATTGCGGTCGACGTCTTCCCTACGCACGTGTCCGCCGCTGCGGTGTGCATGATGGTATGTTTGGGAAGGTTCGGCGCCGTAGCGAGCAATCTGGCGTTCGGCATGCTGCTGGACCTCAGCTGCGAAATCCCGATATTCCTGGTTACCGGTGTCACTTTATGTAAGTACAATGAGACGTTCGTGGCGGAAAACTTTTATGACACCAATATGTACAATAAATGTAAAAGATGACGGTATCTCGATAATGCTTCCGTTTCTGGAATTTACTGAATTATTTTTTTTAATTTCGATCTAATTTGTATTAAGTAAATGATTAGACGAGCCGATGATAGGAGGCTAAGTAATATTTAGCGAGGTTTCAATAAAAAATTTACAAACATATTTTGTAAAAAAATAGAAAAAAAATGAATAATTGATTGTTTCCAGTTGGCAGTTTGTTGTGCTTCCTGATACCGAGCAAGGAAAAAAAGTGAAGATCGATCTTCTCGTGAAAGAAGAAGATACATTTAAGAAAAGGACAAACTTGAAGTGCCGAACGTGGAAGATGTTTTATATTTTTCTTTTTTTTTACGTTATGTGTAACACACAGGGTTTGAAGTGTGTAATAGTGTCTATTGATCTGTAAATAGTAATTATAAGTATTATACCGATCTTGACTATTCGCATTACTTTCACATAAAAATCCACGGAAAGAATACAACAATTTTATTATAGGCTTTAAAAATTTAGTTAGATACAAATCTGAAAATTAATTTTATTAGGTCATCAAAATTAACGTGTAGGACGTTAAATATGATATTAAAAATTTTTTTTATATTCTAGTAATTAATTTGAACATTCTATATAATTATTTTGATGACTCAACAAAATTATTTTTCAGATCTAAGTATATCTCATCATTAGAACCCTTCTTTCTGTGGATCATAATCGTATCACCCATCAGAACATTCAGTGAAATCATAACATTCGATGTGATCTATTCCAACTAATTTATTCCGAAAAGTGGCAAATTTCTCAATACTTATTTAAGCGACGAGCCACTCCTTATCGGTCATTAACTTAATATCGATTTCTTAATGACGAACTGATTTCGCTGATCGGTGATATATATTCCATATCATTTCACTACGACTTGACGCTTATCGATCAAGTCGTTTGTAAATAATTATTCCAATATTTATTAACTCGTTTCGTGTATGCGCGTGCGAAATGTAATGCGCTGCAACGAACAGTCGCAACGCGTGCGGTGCAGATGTGAACGAGTGATTCTTCATAATGTAAACGATAGAAATATGACAAAGATATTTTAATTGTCGCAATACTGCAAAAAAAGATACAACAAATAAAAGCAAAGGGGCGCGACAACTATCCGGAAGATCTCGCATCCACCGCAGGAAATAGACTGACGCATTGCAAATAGGCACTAATTTGTGGCGCGAATGGAAAATACTTATCTACCAACTGTTAAGTGCAGACGGATTAAGTGTCGTTTCCTGGTAAGCCCCGCAGGAATTTAGGATTTAATCGCCCGATGTTTACGATGTACCTATCATAAAGCGTGCCTTAAAACCGCCTCCGTCCCCCGGCGGTATGTTACCGTAAATATACTACGCACCATTCAGGGATTAGAGATCTATTATTATCATGCTGCATTGATAATAGATCTTTCTTTTCATCTAGAACCTCTCGAAAAATATTTTTTATCATCAGATATGTATATATTTTTTTTAAATCATATCAAGCTAAATTTTTCTTCCGAAAATCTGATATGTTGTTTGCAGTTGCTTGTGAAAAATTAGAATAATCTATATTCTGTAATATTATTATTATTATCAAAAGATTCATAACGGGACGTGGTATTGGCGATTGGTAATTGATCATTGACAACACGATGAGATACAAATTTGCAATTTCGTATATTTGTTTTTATTCGTAAAAATGGAGTGGAGAGGACTTCCTTGATCTTCGATACACGATCACGTCGCTTAGCAAGCGTGTTACTTCGTTTTCGGAATTGAGTACAATGATATTGAAAATAATATTGTGAGTTCTCGGGAGTTTTCCCTAATAATATCGTTATTTCGTTACGCTATTCGCACTTAATCTCGATATACCTGCATTCTTTATTATTATTCGTTACTATTAACTCGTTATTACTGTTATCATCGTCGCAAACGACGTAATACATAATATATACATAGTATGTATAATATAATATATATGCGTATGCGCGCGTGTGCGTACACACCTTATGTACAATATATATATACAGTGGCGTTGTTTTATCTCGATTCTTCGTTGTGTGCACTTTTTTTCGCACCGATTACATATACGTATAATATACGTGTGCATACACACACACACACACACACACACACACACACACACACACACACACATCACACAC